CTCTGACATGTTTCCTGATTTTGGTGTTATTTGTTGTTGATTGCTGTCAAGTCAAGGTTGACTCATAGTGACTCTATGAACAAAAGACCTAATGTCTTTCCCTAGCTATCTTTGTTTCCCCAAGTTCATAGAGTTTTCAGAGGCATGTGGTTTAGGAAGTGGATGCCACTCCTACTTCCCAACCCATTTTACAACTGGGAGCTCCACCAAACACTGTCCACAATGGGAAACCATTACAGTATTTGCTATCCCCATGGCACAAGGTTCAGCATCATAGCAAACCCAGGTTACCTCATACAGCACATTGACAAAGAGGGATTTGCAAAGTGGAAGAACGTTCCTCCAGATATAACAGAACGAGTCTCATTTAGCAGTGGTTAAGTGTTGTCGAGTTGAATATGACTCAGCGTGAGCTTTGCACAAAAGACCTGAATTCTGTTCTATCACTAATATCATTTCTTTACATTTAAACCACCCGATATCATGTGTCCTGTTAAACGACTATCTCTTATTATATGCATAGGTGAGGCATGAACACAATGAAGTGTTCTAGAATGCCAGTTCTTCAAATTGTGCATAATTTGTTACGATCCACACAGTTAAATGACTTTGAAGAGTAAAGAAACCATCCCCAAGCATCTCTTTTAATAGTGTCATCTATGTCCACCTAAGATCCACCTGACATTATGATATCCTTTGTTTGACATCCTCTTCTGAATACAATTTGAGTACCTGGAAGTTGCCTACCTATGAACTTGCTCCAATTGTTTTAAGTTATCTTCACCAATATGCGTGCATGTGATATTAATGATTTTGTTCTATAATTTCTGCATTCTATCAAATATTCTTTCTTTGGAATAGGATCTCATATGGATCCCTATTTGCACACTGCAATATGTTGTTTGATTTCTTGACTACTGCTTTCACGTGTGTTGTGGATCCAAGTAAAATGAAATCATTGGAAAATTCAGTATTTTCTCCATTTATCATGGTATTACTTATTGGCCCAGTAGCAAAGACTTTTTTTCTTTCTTGCTCTTAATATGTCATCTATACTAAAAGCTGTAGTCTTTGATCTTTTCAGGAAGTATTTTAATTTCTCTTTGCTTTCAGCAGGCAGTACTGTTTCATCTTCACATCACAAGACAATTCTATTGTTGTTAGACACCATCAAGTTCACTATGACTCATATCAACCCTTTGAACAACAGATCTGAAACTTGGTGGATGAGCCTTCCCAAATACTGATGCCAAGCCTTTCTCTATATGATGCAGTTTTGCAGATTGTTTGTTTCACATACAGGTGAAAGAATGGGAATCCCGGAACACTTTATTGTGCTTATACAAAACCTATACTTGGACCAGGAGGTAGTTGCCAGAACAAAGAAAGGAAACACTGCATGGTTGTACACCAGGAATGTGTCCTATCTCGATACCTTTACAGTATATATGCAGAACAGATTATCTGGGAGGCTGGGCTCTAAGAGGAGAAATGTGGCATCAGGATTGGAGGAAGACTCATCAACAATTTGTGTTATGCAGTTGACACAACCCTGCTTGCTGAAACTGAGGAGGACCTGAAATGCTTGCTGAAGAAGGTCAAGGACTGCAGCCTTGGCACCAGCAGCCAGGAAATTAAAAGACATAATGCATTGAGAAAATCTGCAGTTAGAGACCTCTCCAAAGTACTGAAGAGCAGTAATATCAGTCTGGAGACTAAGGTGTGCCTGACCCAGGCCATGGTCTTTGCAGTCACTTGCTATGCATCAGAGAGCTGGATAATGACTAGGGATGATAGAAGGAAAATTGATGCCCTTGAGCTGTGGTGCTGGAGAAGAGAGTGGAATTTACCGTGGACTGCTAAGAGAATGAATAGGTTCATCCTGGAAAAGGTAAAGCAAGGCTGCTCCTTTGAGGCAAGGACTCTGAAGTTTCATCTAACATACTTTTGACATGTTGCAAAGAAGGATAGATGTCATGCTTGGGAGGGTGGAGGGAAATCACAGGAGAGGAAGGCCCTCAATGAGATAGATTGACTCAGTGACTGGGGTAATGGGGATAGGTGTGTGTGAGATGGTGAGACTGGCACAGGAGAGAACAGAGTTTAGGGCTATTGTACATAGGGTCACTATGAGTTGCAGGTGACACGATGGCACATAAAAATAACAACAGGCAAATAAGTAAAGTGAAAGGCTACAACCCTGACTTGTAATTTTCCTGATTTTAAACTGTTGTTCTAAAAATTACTTCCTCTTCATGTATCTATAAGATCATCAAGAGCACAATGATTTGTTCTGAAATTCCCTTTCCTTACAGTGTTATCCATAATTTGTTATTGTATATACAGGCAAATGACTTCAAATATTCAAGGAAACAATGTTAAATTATGTCCTGATATTCTTTACTTTCATGCAAGATCCATTTGATATCTGTAGTGACAACCCTCATTCCATGTCCTCCTCGGAATCTGGCTTGGATCTCTTCCATTAGGCTTCTTTTGATGAACTGCCACAACTGTTTTTTATTTATCTTCAGCAACATTTTAACTTTATGATATTGTTCAATAACTCCCACATTCTGTTCCATTACTTTTCCTTGAATTATTCATGAGTATGGATATTTGCTGGCTAGTTTCTTAAAACCACTGATCCTACCCTGGTAGAGCTTTTAATACGTCTGTCTTTCTTGTATGTTAACAATGCTTGGACTTAAACTAATGCTGTGCTTCCTAGCAGCAAGGGTGAAAGGGAAATAAGATTCAATTCTACCTTTTAAGCAAAAGAAGTAAAAAATCAGCTTTTAAGAGCAGGATTTTTTTCATGGTAATAAATTGTAGTGAAATTTTACTTAAGAACACTTATTTTCTTACAGAAAATTTAATGAATAATGCTAAAATTTTAATTCTTTTTTTTCTGTTGTGCTTCTCAAGAAATGAATCTTCATGTTTCACCTCAGAATAAAAGAACATTGACTCTGTCTTATTATGATGCAGTAATGCTTCATTAACAGGGATGCCTTACAAATAGGTTATCATTTTCTCAGCCAGATCACACTGGGCTAAATAATGAGATACGGGAATACATTGAACAGCTTGAATTTTGCTGACTTTTACTTAGGAGTGTCAAGTGTTTTAAATTAGACTATGTTAGTATTGATGAAACGGGCACAAGGGGGAAAATAATTTAAAAGCTTTGTTCCATTTTGAGCACGAGGTAAATTGTATAATTTAAAACCAAACAGTGTGACCTGGGAGTAGGGAAACAACACTCTCATTTACTGCTGGAGAGAGTGGAGACTGTTGCAACCTTTATGGAAGGCAATTCAGTAATGTCTATAAAAATTTGCAAAGCACTTACCCAATGTCTGGGTAATTACACACGCTGATAAGAACTTACCACTAGATGTGCGGATCTCTTTTGTTGCGTCTTTGAAATAGTATATGAAAAAAAAATTAGAAAAGGAATTGAAATACATATTAAAAAGGAAATGACTATATACATACATATTGTTCATCTAATGGTAGGTTTTTACCAGAGATTATTTGATAGAATCTTTATCCAAGTGGAAAATTGCTGAGTAGAATATTATTAGTTCATATCCTCATGGAATCCAGACCTTCTGAAGCAGAGACTGGAAAAGCCCCTGAAACTATTACCCTGAGGTAATCTTTAAACCAAACAGTCATTTAACTTTCTTAGTAAAGTAAGCTCTGGATCCGTAGTGGTTAAGGAGTTACATTGCCAACCCAAAGGCACGCAGTTCAAATCCACCAGTTGGACTGCGGGACAAAGAATGGGAAGTCTCATCCTGTGAGATTTACAGCCTCTCAAAACCTGCTGGAGGTTCAACTTTGAGATGGTTGCGACTTGACGGCACACAACTACAATTATTGTGAACTTGTAAAGATCTGAGGGATCTGATTGACAACAACAACGACTGGGATGGATAGATAGGAAATTGTGGGATCTGTGAGTTTCTGTCAATAAGGATGAGACAGTTTGGAAAATTATCAGATATGTCATCGCTAAATATTTTTTCCCACTCTGTGGGTTTCCTTTTTACCCAAGAATGTAAAGCTTAGTGGGAGGAGGTTGCATATCTTTCTCCTCAGGAGTGACAAGTGGATTTGAATCACTGGAGATGCATAACTTTTAAAATGTTTTTAATATTTGAAAGCTTGCAAATCATGTTGGTTTTTCTTTTTTTATACTGATTTTTCATTTAATCATTCATTTTGTTTTCTAACATTAATTACAGTTTATTAATATAATAAACTTGTTACAATGTCTGATGAAATTCTGATGGCTTGGTACATAAGAAATTGTACTGCTCACCTAAAGCCCAAGATTCCATTCCATCAGCTGCTCTGTGGGGAAAAAAGACAGTCTTTCCTGGCTATGTACAACCTCTGAAAACTCACGGGAGGATCAGCTGGGAGTCAATTCAGACTTGACGGTACATAGGAACAACAATAATCAAACTCTTCTTATACATTGCCTTTCCCTTTGCCCGGTTTTTCTCTTTATTGATTTCCATTCCCCTTCCCCTCTTCTCATGCTTGACAACCTCCAATATTGATTCTATATGTAAATTTTTCCTTCACTTTATATATTTGTGGTCTTATGCCAAAATTGTCCTTTTGGGACTGAATTATGTCAGTGGGCATTTAGTGAGAGTCATCCATGCTGGGTAGTATTTAATGAATTCTTGATTGTTTTTAGTGATGCATAATTCTCCATTGTGTAGATGTACTGTAGTTTCTCTAACCATTCATCCTTGATGGACACGTGGTTTGCTTCCAGCTCTTATCAGTTTTAAGTAATCCTGCAGTAAACGTAGAGGCATGTGTGTTGGTTTGTGTTACAGGCTTAGCGAGCAGCCAGCGCTACGGCGAACAGGATCACAGCTCCTTGTGTGTTCCTGTGGACCCTGTCCTGTAACACAACATACTCTGCCTCAGAAGCCAAGAGAATAACACTTCTGTCTTTTCATTCTTTTCAGCATTGCGACTTCCAGTCAGTCCGTCTGTGTGTTTGGATCAGCACTCACAGTTAAATCCGAGACCTTCACATCACCTGTTTAAAACAGTGAAGCCACACTTGTGGAAGTCGTGGGACTGGAGACATGAACAATTGTAAGATAGTAATTGTGGAGTTGTTTCCAGCTTACATTTAGGGAGCAGCTAGCAAAAGACAAGCAAGGACCGATCTAGGTTAAATAGAGCGACCTATTTAACTCCTTGGTTCTGTTACATAAATTTTCAGGTATTCCCTTTACGAGAGAATGCCTTTACTATTTTCTTTTAGACTAATTCAGACCTCTGCTTCTGTAGAATCAACATATGAGTAAGCAAGATGCTGCTTTCAGAGTTTACATTAATGGAAATTGAATTTTAAACCTTGACTATGTGAAACAGTAAAATTTTAACTTCCATTTTAACTTCAGATGACATTACCTTAGTCTATGAGTATGACTGAATGTATTTTTTTCAGCTATTAAATTTTTTTTTTAACTATAACTCTTGTTCTCCAAGAAAGACAGTCATTTGCAGGCTGTTGAGTTTTCCAGGTAACCTCCAGAGAAAGGCTGTTAGACAGATCAGCATCAAACTAAAGTGAGAAATGAAAAGATGCTAAATCTTCTTCCCGAGAGCCACAAATGAGTTTGCTTCATCTCATTTTATAATTATCGAGTTTTTCAGCAGTCAATAGAATTAGTGAAAAAACATGTGTCCTTAAGTTTATTTAGACTTCAAATGGTAAAGTGGGGTAATGTTCCTGTAGTTGAAACTTAGACCATTAAAGTGCAGAAACATGCTGGATACAAGCCAATTGTTCAACATTTTGCTGTTATTTGGGATGAGAGCATATTTGCCCCATCACCTCCTGTTATTTTCCCCTTGTTCCCTCGTGTCCTTATCATCCATCCTTTAAAGTAATTTGCAGCCTTTTGAGAGAAGATTATTAAGTAGAATTAGTTGACATGGAGTCTCCAATTTACCACAGAGTTAAGCTGCAATGATTCATGTTTTTATTTTTCTCAAATGTAGTATTTATATATATGTTTTTATTTTTATACATACATTTGTATTTTATATATGTTTTTATGTCTTTTTTTAAATCAGTGGCTTTATAAATCTAATCTCTGAATTATAATTATAACATAATTATAACATCTGCAACTTGCATGCTCCAACATTGTAAGTAGTGTGTATTACTATCAAAAGATATGCAGAAACAAATAAAACCCTGCTATTACTGAGTATCCCATCGACTTCCAAATACCAAACAGCTATGCATTGGAGAAAGTAGGGCCAGAGTGCTTCTTAGAGGCAAAGATGCCAAAGCTTCATCTCACATACTTTGGGCATGTTGTTGGGAGAGACTATTCCTTGGAGCAGGACATACTTGGAAAGGGAAGAGAAAGAGAGGAAGACCCTCAACTGGATGGATCAACACAGTGACTGCAGCAATGGGCTGATATGAGTCTGGGATGATGAGGTGGTACAGGCTAGGACACGGTTCAGATCCCTTATTCTAGGGTCACCGTGAGTTGTATTTTACTTCACAGCACTTAACAACAGCTACTCATTGTGGAGATCTCTGATGACTGAATAGATAAGGAGTTGCACTGCCTACTCAAAGCCAGCCTGTTCAAATCCACCAGCTGCTCTGCGGGAAAAAGATGGGCAGTCTTTTCCCATGCAATTCATTGCCTCTGGAGAGTCAGCTAGACACTGCTTCCGACTTGACAGTGAGCTTGAGTTTTTGACTGTTCATTGCTGTGAATTGTGGTTCATTGTAACTCCAATATGTCATAAGTATTTTAATGGGCTCTTGGTGACTCAGACACTTTAAAAAAACTTAACGTAATTTGATGGTGAGAATTAACTAGAGAAAGTATAAGTGAGAACAAAAGAGATGTTTCACTGTTCCCTTAACGACACTTTCTATCACTGTGACTGTCACAGTAGCATCAGTGTGAAGTCAGGAGAATGAGTAGTGGAATGTTTTTAAAACCTTTAACCAGTATTTTAAGTATTGTTTCCTTAACCAAACCCCATTTGATTAAATGCCAGAGTGGAAACCTCTGACCAAATGACCTGCTCCAGTACGCCGCCTGGTGGTGATGCTAATAAACCTTGAAAATTATTAAAACCCAGCTGGAGGCCAACAATGGATAGATAAGAAGATTGCAGAAAGCTTGTAGGCGATTCACAAATGATGTGCTGTTGTTGTTATTTGCCATCAAGTCTATAACAATTCATAGCAACAGCATGCATGTCAGAGTGGAATTGTGTTCATTAGGATTGTTAAGGCTGTCTCCTAAGAAGTCTCTGGGTAGTTTTGAACTGCTAACCTTTCTACTGTTGCAATTGCTGTTCTGTTAGGGCCATTGAGCCGAGTACAACTCATAGTGACCCTGTGAATAACAGACATGAACTCTGTCCTATCCTGTGCCATTCTCATCATCACTGACACACTTTTGGACCCACCAGGCAGTCTACACCAATTACAAAGCCAACCACAAGTTATGGTTGTTAACTATATGGCTGTTCAATTTTATTTTTTTTCACTTTTAGGAACCAAACAACAGTCCTCTCTCCACATGAAACCACATTTAAAGCTGAAGACCTATCTGTGATTCTTAAGGCGTACGTGCTAGTGACATCCTTAACCCCTTTGCGGGCATTCATCTACTCTACAGGCACAGTTTGGAATCCACCAAAGAAAAAACGCATCACTGTCAAGGTAAAGGCTGGGTCAGAGCCATGACTTCACACGAAGCCACTGGAGATTAGTCAAGTGTGCTGGGCTGCGTTTCTCTAACCTTTATTATTATCCATTCCCAGTGAACAAAGATTGCATCTTTTTATAGCTGCAGACAGGAAGTTTCATTTAATAGGTCCTAGTTCAAAAATGATGTGGAAACAGTTTAATTCACCAGGGATCTCAAAGGCTATATTCTCTCCCCAACTCATCATTTTAGTTTAATTCATTGACCTATCACAGAGCTACTTCTCAGCTGTATGCTGTTTTTTTCTTGACTCTCCATTTATTCAAGAAAACTACAACCAATGCAACAAATGCAACAAATGAAAAGTTAATTTTGAACTGACCCATTTGCTTCAGCCTTCAAAAAGCATAATACCTTTTTCATTACACTAGTCAATAGGGCTGTTGTACATAGGGTCGCTATGAGTCGCAAGCGTCTCGACGGCACATAACAACAACAACAGTCAATATAGAACATTTGCTGAGCAAGAATCAAGTACCAACTGTGCCCAATATTATAAGTCATGCCATACAGGATGGTGAGGAAGTTTTCAAAGAAGAGCTGAAAAGTTTGTGGTTGTTGTTGTTCTTAGGTGCTGTTGAGTCAAGTATGATTCATAGTAACCCTGTCCTGTCTTCTCCTACCCTGTGCCAATCTCATAATCTCAGACACATTTTGAGCCCATTGCTGCAGACACTGTGTCAATCCACCTGGTTGAGGATTTTCCTCTCTTTCACCGTCCTTGCCTGTGGACGAGAAGTTTAGGGTGAAACTAGGTTAGGGTGAAAAGTTTAGGTTAGTTCTAAAGGCAGCTCAGTTTAACACAGCTGGAAAAATGTCCAAAGACATGTTTGATAAACTTTAAACTTAAAGGGATGCTTGATTTTAGAGACTTTTTTTTAAGATTGTTGTTGTAAGGTGCTATTGACGTGACCACAGCTCAGCGTGACCCCATGCTCAGCAGAGGAAACCCAAACCCAGTCCATTCACAGATCCTCCTCACAATCTCGGCGATGTTGAAGCCCATTGTTGTAGTCATTCTGTCTCCCTCAACGACGGTGTTGGAGGGTCAGCAAGGAGATGAACACCCTCAAGGAGATAATGCAATGTCTGTGGCAATGGACTCAACTTATGTCAGGGAGGTCGAGGCTGGCTCAGGACAGAGTTCAGATCTATTGTTTATGGGGTTGCTAGTTCTACTCAACCTGCAAGCCCTTAACAACAACCGTCACCTCGAGGAAGTGTCTCTCTCCTTTGACCCTCTACTTTTCTAAGCATGCTGTCTTTCCAAGGACTGGCCGTTCCTGATAGCAGGCCCAGTGTGTGTGATCCAAAGTCTTCCCATCCATGCTCCCAAAATAAGAGGAAAATAAGAGGAAATGGAAGAGGCACAGGAGCCTCATGATTTCAAGTGACTAAAGTGTGACTCAGCTTGAATTCTTCTCTCCTCAGTATTCATCACATAAGCACTACACTTTAAATTCTGGAGAATACTCCCATGTGGAAAAGTTTAAAATGACTCATTGAAATACTGTTTTAAGCAATAGCAATAAAACAGACCAACAGGATAAGAAGTGCAAGTATTACTTTATTGCCCAATGGGACACAGAATTGATTTAATTCCTCTTTGATCGAGTTATCAATTATCCCCCAAACATCTGATGTCACCTTTGCTGTCTCTTGTCCTGTGTGCACATGGGATGACCTCAATTCTGTATTCTGTTACAGCCGGTCCACTAGGATTTTTAATCATTGTGATAGTATAAACATGGCTAAAACTTGGCAGGAAAATGTCAATCTCTCTATTGTTTTCTTTTCAGGGTTAACTATGTTTTTGTTATTGTTGTTGTGTGCCATTGTTAGAACCAACCCGCAACTGACCCTGCAGCAGGCTTTTAGAGACAGTAAATCACACAGGAGGAGACTGGCCAGCCCTCTGTAGAGCAGCTGGTGGATTCGAACTGCATGCCTTTGAGATTGTAGCACAATAGACATTTCCTCATAAACACTTTGGAATATTGCTGTTTTCGGTGCCATCCAGTCAGCTACAGCTCATAGGAACCTTGTGTGCAACAGATTGAAACCCTGCCCCATCGTGTGCCCTCCTCACAATCCCCACCATGCTTAAGCCCGTAGTCACACTGGTAAATGTCTCTGCTTGAGGTTCTTCCTCATCTCTGACCTTCCATCCATAGTTTTCAACCCCCTGGGACTCCATCATATAGTTAGATGGAATTGATGTATCTTAAGTTGAATAATTATTTATTATTAACATCGTTGTTGTTATGTGCCATCGAGTCTCTTGCAACTCATACTGACCCCTATGTACAAGAGCCCTAAACGCCGTTCTATCCTGTGCCAACCTCACTGTCTCAGACACACTCATTCCCACCACTCCAGTCACAGAATCGATCCATCTCATCGAGGGTCTTCCTCTCCTGTGCCATCCCTCCACTCTCCCAAGCATGATGTCCCTCTCCAAGGAGCAGTCCCTCCTTGCAACATGCCCAAAGTATGACAGATGAAGCTTGAGAATCCTTGACCCCAAGGAGCATTCTGGCTTCACCCTCTCGTATTCATGATTTGTCCCTTATTAGAGTTCAAACTAATACCTTTCTCAGAGGTGTTTTTCAGGCATCAATTTTTTTGTGTGTTTTTTTCCTTTTAATTAGTTTATTTACAAAATTCTAATAGAAATTTGAACAAATTATTTCCATTTCTCTCACCCCCCCACCCACCAAATTGTATAATCCAATGATTTATCCCCTCTTCCCCCTGAACATCCACATCCCTCTGCTTCCAGCCTCTCCCACCCCTCCTGGATCCTTATACTCATTCTATGATAATGGTTTTATACAATATTTATCGCTGTGGGACGGAGTTAGTTCACTCAACATAATGCTCTCCACTCCCCCCTCAAGTTAGGTAATAATTTACAAAGTTATTGCTCCTGCGTGCTGCATAGTATTCCATTATGTGAATGTACCATAATTTCTCAATCCATTCATTTGTGGTTGGACATTTGGGTTGTTTCCATGTTTAGGCATCAATGTTTATTGATCTTGTTGGGTGTATTTTGTTTGTTTAAAAAGTGTATGGTATATATATTTGAGTTTTACTTGAATAGAGAGATAATATTTTTTGAAAGTTGATCTTAGGTTTGGCAAACTTGTTACATGATTGAACTGTTGATACTGTTGGCTTTCCTAAATTGATGATTATTTAATCTGTAAGTCAAGTCATGCTTGACACTTTTCCTTCTAATCTTAAGGAGTTCTGGTGGCACGACGCATTATGTATTGGGCTGTTAACCAAAAGGTCTTCTAATTCATCAGCGGCTTTGTTAGAGAAAGACAGTCTGTTCCCTCTCATAAGGATTCATAGCCTCAAAAACCCAATAGAGGGTCATTTGAGTTGAAGTAGACTCAATGGTAATGAATTTGTTTTTTTTTCTGTTTGCTCCTAATCTTTATATGGTTTTTTTTACTCTTTATCAGTGTCGTCTAGAATTAACCTTTTCCCCCTATTTTTGTTGGCTTGCATTCAAACATTCATACATACTGTGTTCTATGTCCAGTGTGTGCCATACAGCATTTCACTTACATTGTGTTTTGTTCTTGTACATCGTGTTTTATATGATCATGAATCTTAAAGGGATTTCTCCTCAAGTTTGTCCATTACACATAGCATTTGCAAAGGTTTTTGCATTTCATCTCTACAAAGAAGTAGAAAACATAATGGATCACCAAGTACCTATCACTCTGCTTGATATTTTACATTTTATAACTAATATTGTTTCAACTGTACTTTTACTCTTCTTCCTCCCTAATGCTGGTTTGCTTTGAAAAACAGTTCAGATTTGACACAATTTAATCTGCAAACGTTTGTAAGGGTTTCCTTCTCACTGATACCCAGATGAACCTAGCTGGGGGTGGGAGGGGGGAGGTGGATTTGAACCCAAAAGATGCCTTTGGGTTAGTGGCTTAATGGAATTCGCCATCAGAATACCCTGAACCTTTTGAGGATATACAATATTTACTAAGTTAAGAGAATTCCCATTTATCTTTCTTTTTCTCATTGCTCTTGAGTTAGAACTGACTCAGAACTGACCCTTCAGTGAGTTTCAGAGGCTTTCAATCTCCCAGGGGGAGATGATCTTTTTTTTGCATCTTTCTGAGCTGTTGGATTTGAACCACTAGCTTTTGGATTGGCAGAGCACAACTCTTTACCGCTAGGTCATCAGCTCCCTCATTTATAGCTCGTCTGCTAGAATGTCATAAAAAGATTCTGAACTTGACAAGTTGCCCCCACTTCACCCTTCTGAACTTCACCCCTGTCCCCTCTGAGCTGACTGAGATAATCATGATATTTTTTCCCCCTCTTCTTCAATTATGTGATGTTATACCTTGCTAGGTTTTGTTTTACCAAATTAAAGCCTACTGTGTAATTGTGATAAACCCTCCTTGACTGTTTGCAGTTATCTTCCTATATTCTTTTGGATTTGATTAGATACAATTTTTGTCTCTTAACAAATTAAATAGACTAATAATTTGATTTTCTTTATTGCCCTTATCTTTTTTTTTTTAACAACCAAGATTCCACTGGTCTCATAAAACTGCTGGAAAAGCTTAACTCTTTTTCAATTTTGGGGAAATAACTTATATATGGTATGAAGTAACTGATCATTGGCTGAACATACCACAGTTTTTCAATCCATTCATTTCTTGATGGGCATTTCTGCTGTTTCCATTTTATTGCTATTGTAAATAACATTGCTATGAACCTAGGCATACAAATATCCATTCCTGTCTCAGTTCTGATTTTCTTTGGATATATTCCTAGCAGTGGAATAGCTGACTCGTATGGGATTACTACGTTCAGCTTTTGAGGAAACACCAAACTGCATTCCAGAATGGTTTTACCATTTTACAATTTCACTAACAGTGTATGAGAGTCCCAATTTATTATCTTCATT